ACGTAGGAAGGACATGTTGTCTGTTGTAATGAATTATACAGACTGTTTTTTCAATGCGTGGAAGCGAAGCTCTCGGCGACTGCAGCTGCAGAGCCATCCATGTGTTGGTATATGTAATTCAGTTTATCGTATATAATACGTGTGGCCTCTTAATTCGGTTGTAACCTTCCGCTAGCAACGTCAAGCAAATTGCTGTAAACCAATATCGTAATCTATGTTCGAATTCGAAATTAGCTTCAGTTTGTATTGCTTCGCCTGTTGCTATTATTTGTGTTGAAGAATATATGTATATTGAACGAAATAAAACGTCTCGTACTAAAATCTTCTACTCAAGCTTTTACCATTGACAAGTTGTTGTTGATTTTTATAAAGCATCGCTTAACTGGAGGTTTAGAAGAGACGGCGAACTCATTGGCAGGTGATCGCTTCATTGAAAGTTTTGAGGCTATTTGAAATAGAACATAAAATAAAGTTTTAAAAAGGCTAGGTAGTTTGCTACCCTGGTACACTCCTAAAAGACCGTTAAGGTGGTCATCCTTTTGGTTAGGCACCTCATGGTCACCTCACTGCCTGACAAGCTAACTACATAAAAATGCGGCTCGCAACACCGTTTTCAAGGTTCAGTCTGGCACAAGTCGAAATTACTATCACTTCGGCCTGAAATAATATCTGTCCTGTGGCAGTTTCCATTGACGCAGCACCCCACCTTGCATAACCCGTTGTCTTGCTGCGCTCTTGTAAACCTCGCACCTAGTGTTTGGATGACCTCGCTTTGCACTTGTGCATCAATATGAAGAGGGAATAGCCCCGCTATAACTAGAGAAGTATCTCCCTACATCGGGGCTGAAAAAATTCTGTTACTGAGAGTATAGTGAAACTTTGAAGTTTACTGAAATGTGATATGGCAGTTTTTCTTAGCTTTTTGGAGGCAAAAAATTTTCTACAGGCTCACATGGCTCAGGTCCCTTACTAGAAGTTTTCACGAGATATGAGTTTCAAACTAATCTGTTAAACATTAATTCAAAGCCCTTGTCCAACCACTATCCCTCCAAGAGTAATCTTTTCTTGTGAACTCTAAAATAACAGCTGTTTTGGAAATTTATACTGAAACCCCCGCTGACATACCAGTTTGATCCCACGAGTAGCTGCACTCAAAATGTGTCAAACTAAGCTAGCGATTTCCTCCATAACACTATTTACCATGTTGTCTGCGTAGATAAGGGTCACAATCTTTTAATTTTATCAGGAGGTCATCCATCGCGAGAGACCAAAGTATGGGAGAAAGAACTGCTTCCTTTTGGCATCCTATTATGGCTCTAATATTGATAGAAGTTTTGCCCTAGGACGATGTAATATCATGCTTACGAAATATGATGTCGCTCATCCCGACAGTGCGTTCGCAAAATAAAAGACGAGTGTTGGCAATATGCATGGCATTTAATGCGCTGGAGTGGCAATTAGTGGCAGCAACAACAATAATCAATTTAACACCATTGCATATCCGTATCGAGTACAAGAAAAACATAGTAATCAGCGATTACAAAACACAAAGCAAAGCAATCAACAAATTGACCGCAGCAACAGATGTTCGAACAACAACTACTATTACTGCTAAACAAGCAAATTGGCAATAGGCTGTCACGGATTTATATGAGATAAATGAATGGCAGCCACATTGTCCTCTATGATAGAAAGCAATCAACGAGAAAGCCAAATGAAATTTTTAATTCTAGATTTTTTGTAAGCTGAGAAATGAATGAAATTCAGTTGCGAGAATTTGTATAGCCGTAGCTGGTCATAGATATTTTTTATGTCACTTCACACCAGACTCTTCAGGCAATTACTTATTTCGTTGCCAGATAGCAAGTAAATATGCAAATAGCGATTAGAAATTAAAAATTGGGATTAAAAAACAATTGTTTTGGAAACTAAGGATCAACAAGTGAACTGTTCACAGTGCGACGCTGGCTGGTGATGCTTAGAGGGGTAATTAAGTAAATACGGCGGCGTTGTAGGACGTATTAACAAGTTTTGAATATTTATTTTTAAATTACTAAGTATTGCTTGCAAAAGAAATGGCTTTTGTTCTTCGTCTTTCGTCAAAGTTCGATTATAATTTTGTATCGACGCTATACCTCGTTCAGCAATACCATTAACATATTTATTCAATACGATTAGGAAACAATAATATTTTGAATGAAATGTTTTGAAAACCTAAAACTTAAAAAGGAGAACATTTTTTCTCTAACGGGGGGCAGAGAAGGACAATATTTTTGAGGAGGACAAATCACGTTTGAGGAAGATAATCCTCCTCAAAATGAACGGTTGGTCAGCTAGTTTCAACATCTTCCTAACTGAAAGTTTGGTGCCGGGTTCATAACTACCTACACCTGATATATCTTCACCCTTGGAACATTCTTTGAACCAATGTACATACCTGGGATCGAGGGTAGCTTTCCGCCAAAGCAGAGCTCTTTAGCTGGGGAGTCAGAAATTCTACATAATTTCCAACTCTGGTACCTTCCAAGAATACGTGATGAAGCCTTTACGTATAGACTAATGAGACATTACGTCATTTTTTTAGAAACACAGCGTGAATAATTAGTAGAAGTCGTAGGATACATTATGGGACGATTACCCTACAAAAACATTTAAAAAATAAAACTGAACTTTGACACGAATATTCAAATTCATTTACTCGCACTACTCTTTGAGCCTTTAATCACAGTTTAGTATTCTTAAAACAGGAGTGAAATATTTAAAAATGTTCCACCTGTGCATATGTAGATGCTGCTGGCGTATGCAAATGATGATAACGATATCGTAGGTCTGAAAAAAGGGGCGTAACCGCAGCATTTTCCAGTTTAGAAAAAGAAGCTACAACGGTACATAAGCCTAGCGGTGAACGAGGGCAAAGCAACATACCTCCTGGCAACATATAAAGAGCACTCGTTTCGAGACATACGCCACACTATTGGCAGCTATAACTTTGAAGTAGTGAAAGACTTTGTCTACCTAGGATCCAGCATAAACACCACTCACAACGTCAGCCTGGAGATCAAGCGAAGAATAACTCTTGCCAACAGGTGCTACTTTGGGCTCGCTAGGAAATTGAAAAGCAGAGCCCTCTCTCGGCGAACAAATGTCACGCTCTACAATTTTCACATCATGCGCCTCCTTTTATATGGCGCAAAAACTTGGACGATGTCGAACAAAGATGAGCAGGATTTGGGGGTTTCGAGAGAATTAGTCTACGCAAGATCTACGACCCTGTTTTCGTGGACGACGGATGTCGGAGAAGATGGAATGACGAACTGTATGAGCTTTCAACGACGTGGACATAGGTAAGCGCATAAAAATACAGCGATTGCGCCGTCTTGGACATGTTGTACGCATGGATGACGATACTCCGGTGAAAATATTCTTCGACTCCGCACCCATGGATGGGCAACGAAATAAAGGGCGCCCACGAACGCAATGGAAGGACCAAATGCAGAAGGACCTGTCTGCGCTCGGGATAACCAACTTTCGCAAATTCGCACAATTGTAGAGGCGTTTTGGTCTCAGCCCAAACCAACAAACGGTTGTAGTGCCAAATAAGAAGAAGAAGAAGTATATATGTAGATATCAATTAATCATGCATTATCGAGCATACTAATTTAAAAGAAAAAATGCGTTGAGCCAAGGCGCGCCTCAGAGCAAAAAAAAGCCAATTTCAAATAAAATGCATTTCAGAAAATATTTATTTGGGCTTTTGTTTGTGGCATACACATGTGTCGACGTAAATCTAAACATTGAAATTTAGTAGCACGAAATTCTACTAAGTACTAACATACACTACTTTTTTTATTGTTTTGTACCTCAGCAGTATCAGTAAAATTGTGCACCACAAATAAAATAATTCTCAACGCTGGTTTGAAGCCTTCTATATATAAAATAGAATTCTATTGTACATATACATATGTATATGCATAACTTTCTGTGCAAAATAATAGGAAAAGAGCACAAATGGCCGCAGGAAGGAAAATATTAGTTAATCTATTCCGTTTTGTCATGAAATCTGTCAACCACTTATCTCAAACCACACTACTCAACTTATTCAAATATGCATACTGGTAATTGCTTCCGCTTTGTATGGGCGCATTTCATCTTAAACTAAATTGGATTCGCTATGCTGTCAGTGTCCGCTTACTATTTAAGCTTTTGGTTAAGTTGCANAAAGTCCTTTTTATAACAACTTAAACTTAAAATGAATATTGCCTCGTGTCATCACAAAATCTGTAGCACAGTTTACATATATATTTATATCGCACCGTTTGTGAGTCTGTTGAATGAATTTATGTCTTGGTTGTAAGAAATTGGAAACAATTTGGATTTTCTCGCAATTGTACAACTTATCGCTACATTAATGGCCATGTTGTAACTACAAACTCATTTAATTTGCGTTTATTTTGTACACTAAATAACCGAAAATGGATAACTCAGCCGAAATAGGTACGTGCTTTCGTTGAATTTTATAAATAAATGTAAGCCGAAAGTATGAAATTGTAAAGATCGAGATTTTACAATGAGACTGTTCGAAAAATTGCAATGTCTTGTGGGCAAAACGTCCAACTTTATTACGGATCAATCTGGACCAACGGTTCAACGGTTCAATTATGAAATTTTCTTAACATTTTCTATACAAAAATTTAAAATTTTCGATTCGTGCGAAATATAGAATAGGCCTCAGTGTTTGATTTCTAACCAAACCTATGTATGTAACTCAATCGCCTAATGGTTTGCCGAACCGTAAACATATGTTTACGCATCCAATTTCGTGAGGGGGTACCTGGTACTCACACCTTTTTTAAGCAGTTTCACTTCTATCATGTGTACGGTATTACACACGGATTTTTTTGATTTTTTTTTTGTTATAAGGCCATAAATAACAAACGAAAACAAATTATTACGTAAAGCTAATTCAGTTCCTAATAGAGATTAGACACTTTCAAACTTTCCTTGGAAAATATCAATAACAGAATTTATTTTGTCGCTCAAAAAATTATGTTACACATCGTCTTGCGAAGGTAAGGCAGCGTTTCGTGCAGCAAACGTCCGCCAAATGGCAAAATCCCCCAACTTTGACGCATTTTACTTTACTTGGCGGAAGCTGAAAAGAAAAAGGACATTTAATAAAAGAGTGATTCAAAAATAAAAAATAAAATAAAAAATACAAAGATATTAGGTAGTTCTCATAAAGGAAATAAATGCAGTAAAATTCTAAGAAAAGCAAATGCGATTGTAACCGGAAACGCAGAGCTAATTTTTTTTTTTTTTGTTTTAAGTTTTAAGTCGCATATGTCGACAAGCAGTCAAAAGGAAATGGAAGATGAACTCAAAACAGCTCAACTAAAGTAATTTTTAGCTGTAATTAAATAAAATTCACACAAATTGCCAATCAATTTTACCTCATCCGTCGGCAAAAACGGCATCAACGTCGACGTAACAACCGCCTGCACAGCATCGCCGCCATCATCCGACTATGCCGACCGTTGCTAGCATAACCTCATTTGCCGCAGCCTCCACAGTCGTTTGTGGGATTAAAGGTTCTTCGGTTTGTTGTGTTGTCGTCAATTCCGTGGGTAAACTTGTTGCACGCTGCAACACCTAACGCAACGCACATCATGCCGTTGACGCATTTTCCATTGTCCCAGTTGTTTTAGTTGTTGTGTTTTTGTGCATTTGTTTTTTTTGTTGTTGTTGTACAATGTACACACCCATTGTTGCAATTTAATAACAGCATTCATTAAATGCGTGCACAAGGCAATAAAGCACAGCGAGAGGGAGAGAGAGAGAGAGAGAAGAGGGGGCGTTGAGATGACAAAGGAAAAAAAATTAATTGCATTTATGCTCAGTAATTTGGGTGGGCATAAACTTGCGCTTTTGTATAAGCATTAAGTAAGCAATAACCACAATAATAAAATAAAGGATATCTACGTTTTTCTATGGAAACCTACCATAGCACACAGTGATAGCAACAACAAATGTAGCACCAAACTTTTCATCGAGCCCATTATGTTCGCTTGCTGCTTATTTCCCCGTACAATACTTTCGTTTTAATTGTAACTTAATTTTAATTCCTCTTGATTACTGCTGGATTTTTTTCGCGCTCAATTTCAGTGCAGCACCGTTAACTGCCAATTTAGTTGCTATTGTGTTGGATTGCAAAAATTTTCGCCTTTTATGGTAGCGTTGAAACTCGGTCAAATATCTGTAGTCGAAGTAGATACATATGTACATATATACATATGCATGTAAGCATGCCACTTATCATTTTGTTTTGATAAGCAGATACTCAATTTTATCGCTGTGACACATTTTTCAGAGTTTTTTGTTTACCAACAAAATTGCAAAATTCCAAAACATTTCGCATATTTTGATCGCTTATTTAACGCTTTTAGGTTTTTATTTACTTTACGTGTAATATTTATGACAACGATGATAGTTGACAGGCCTTTGAATCATTTCACAGATTATAGCTGATAAGGGAGTCAAATACATATACATCCATACATACATACTACAAATGTGCGTATGTATAATGGGATGTCTTTTTCAAACCAGCCCCCCCCTGTACACTTATCTTGTGGGTGAAAAAATGTGTTGAGCACATGAAAAAATGTTGATGCTGTCTGGCCCCCTATACAGCTATTTAAAGAAAGCGGTCAAAAATTACAAAAATGGTGTCCACAAATGTGGATCCGTCACCTTGAATTTAAAAACGGTTACCGGATTCTTTTTCAGCGACATCTAGAACAACCAAAACAGTTATTTGATTCAAACTAATTTGAATATTTTTATCTTTTTCTACCATTTTTGTTGAAGAAAAACTGAATTTTTTGCCCGCACGCCTCTTTTTGGACAGTTATTTTGAGGTTAGGAAATTGTATTTTCACAAAAGACCAGACGGCATCAAAAACTACACTTCATGAAAAATGTTTGCATGAGCTCAAAACATTTTTTTCTCTCTCAAGATAAATGGGCATGGGGGTGGCTGTTTGGAAAAAGAATTTCCCATATCCATATAGTGGTTACTCTTTAATAATTCCAAAAAAATTAACAAAACTCAATTTTTTCAGTATATTTTTGATTTACCCGAAAGAGCAAACACTTTAATTATTTATTGAATACGATTTTATTCATTCGGATGGCTTCGTTTTCCATGCCTCGGTAGCGCTCACCGTTGACCGAAATGCCGTTTCTAGCAGAATTTAAAAAAAAAAAATTAGTGCCGGTGGCATCACTCCAAAATCCTGACCAAACTGTTACTCTCTGAGGATGCATTAGCTTTTCGGCGATGCGTGCGGGTTTTCCGATCCCCATATGCGACAGTTATGCTTGTGAATGGTGCCGAAGCATGAAAAACGAAAACATCCGATGAGGCAGCCCTTGGAGTGTTCGAGAGAGACATTCTTCGGAAGATTTACGGGACTCTGCGCGTTTGCGACAGTAACTAAGCATTGCAATGATATTGAAATAGTCAGCTCAAAAAAAAATACAGCGACTGAAAATTTTCAAAGCAGATTCTGCCAGGCGTAGCAGAGAAAGGGGAAGGCGATGGAAAGACCAGGCGGAGAAGGGCTTGGCTTCACTTGGCATTTCCAATTGGCGTCAGTTCACAGAGAAGGGAAACGACTGGCGTACATTAGTTATTAGACACGGACAAAACTCTTTAGGCAGAATAAGAAGGCTCTTACTTTCGTCCGACTTTTTGTATACAATCAAGTTATTACTTAAAAAAGAAAGTTGCCATAAAATTTCACGACGTTCTACGAATACGAATTGTGTTTATTTAAATTTATTGCATAATATTTACGAATTTAGTTTTTTGTAATTTTTCCGCTTACTTACAATTTTATTGAACTAGAGACAGTTTTTGATGAAAATGTTTGTAAAAAAAAAACAACAATAGTTTACATAATGGTCATTCCATGCAAAGTTTTCATCTCAAATTTTTTTTTGTGAAAGACACCAATTTTTTTGTTCCATCATGATATTCGAAAATCTCAAAAAAAAAAAATCTTCGAAATTTCTAACTCACACAGAAGTACCTTTTCTAATAAACTATTTGTCGGCGAAAATCTCCCTAATAAACAATCGTGGTACAAAGCTCAACAAAAATATTAGAAAAAAAAAATAAAATCAGTTAAGTTATTAAAATGTGCATAATTACCTCGGCTTTCCATTACAGTCAGAGATAGATTTAAATAAATAATTTTTTCCATTTAAAAACTGCATTTGTTTAATTTGTATATTTTTTATTATATACACTGTTTAATTTCTGTTGTCTAAATAGTTGCCAAACTTTATGGAGTACATTGTAAAAATGTAAGAATGGAGAAACCAACACTGTAGAAGATACGAATTTGTTCATGCCTGCTAGCTTCACTTGACTAGTCTGAAAAACTTCGAAACTTCCATAATTTCGATTTTTCCATTATCAAAATTTTTACAGTGTACTCCATGAAGTTATGTTTAAAAAAAAAACGGTGTATAATTAATAAAAAAAAAAACAAGTAAAGAAGTATAAGTTCGGGCGAAACCGAGTTTTATATATCCGGCGCAGTTATCGTCGTTTCAACCTTAAGTGCCGTTTTCTCATATAGGTTTCAAAATTTTCCTGGCCAATAAATACATTTTTTCAAAACAAACTTTGTGTTTAAAGGGCTGATAATATAGATTTTAAAACCCATTGCAGAATGATTCTACAAAATTCAACTTCACATATTATTTTTCAACAATTTGGATCCAATGTTTAGTGAGATATAAATAGTTATTGCAGTTTTAGAAAATACCGTTATATGGGAAGTAGGCGTGGTTACAGTCCGATTTCTATATCAACCTACCTTGGATAAAGGGCAAACTGCATACCAAATTTCGTTGAGATATCTACATGACATGGCTAAATCGACTTCTCTATTCATTTTGAGCATTTATGTATTCGTTTGTCTGTATCCGTCTTGATTTCTTTATGCTGTTACAAACAACCGTTATGTGAACAAAGTGTCGTGCACAAGTGCGCTCCGGTATAAAAATTATTAATTAACTTTTAAACAAAAGCAATATTTTAATCCAAAAATATATATTTTTTTAAGTCTATCTTACCCTCTAACGGAAAGCCGAAGTAATTACGCACATTTTGATTATATAACTGATTTCCGACGACAAATAATTTACTAACTCCGAAAAAAAATAAAAAAGATATATTTCTGTGAGTTCAAAATTTCGGAATTTTTTTTCGAGATTTTCGAATATTATGATGGAGCAAAATAATAGGCGTTTTCTTTTTTTCTATAATGAATATAAAAAAGTTATTTCACAAAAGAAAATAATATTGAGGTGTAAATTTTGCATAGAATGACCCATATGCAAAAATTTATAGCAGCTATTTCTGATAGCCTCCTACTTCCTCATCGGACTTCTTCATCAAGTAAATTGGGACTCGAACCAGCAACTCCGACTTACAGAGCCTACTGAACTAAATTCGCCATGTGAATTCTAGTTGATATTTCCACTTTTTCACTTGTCAATCAAACTAAAACCAAGGGCATTTTTGTCATTTCGACTGGATCATGTGATTGTTGTTATTTAGTTTAGTTATATTTTTAGAATTTTAACTTGGAGGCTGCTCATCCCTAAGTATTTGGTTTTTGTTAGTTTTTGGCTACTAAAATTTAGGTGCAACCATTTTATTGAGTTTGAGAATAAGCTCAATAAAATGTTTAAATATAAATTGTTAGGAATTAATCTAGGAAAGGAGAAAAAAGGCAAATTCTTCAACCAACTTTAGTGCTGACAGTTACAATTTTTAATTTCATTTAGGCTGCTATCATTCCTTATGCATATCGTTGTAAACAACACACCTTCAAGTACCTAAACATTTTATTTTTTATTTATGTAAATATGTTATACAAACTTATACATATAAATTTTTATTGGAGCTTTCGCGATTCTTTCATACGTCCTACTATTAAGCACATACATTAAATCTTTTTTTTTATGACAGGATATTTCAGCTTAATATGTAAGTGTCTCGAAACACATAAGAGCACAACAAGAGTCAACCTATGTAACACATTGATGCAAGAAGCCATGACAGCGGTTGGTACAACATTCTTCGTGGCGATAACACTGCAGTAAATAAGAAAATGAAAGACAAAAGGTAAGTACGTAAATATGTATATGTATGAATAAGTATACTCTTGGCCGACCTTCGCTCCGATTTCTTTGCACTGTTGCTCTGTCGTCTGCACAATATCACTTTCGGTTGCATTCTCCTCCCCCGCATCGACTCTCACAGTCTGCGCTGTATCGGCTGGTGAGTATTTTGTTGCTGATTGCGCTTGTTCTTCCAATTGCTTTGGCTGACGCATCACTTTTTTCGGTTGTAAGACAAAGAAGATGTAATCTGGTATACTCGAACTGGCTGCAGTTTCACTCCTCCCATCGACTGCCGCAAAACGGCTATGCAGAACTGGCTCCTCCGCTTGTGCTCCCCACTCTTGATTGGCATCTAACAAATGTTGCAAAGTTATTTCAGATTTATCACGATTGTCAATTTCTGGTCGATTATATGAGGTATCGGGAATCATGTTAGCACCATAAATGCTATCTAAGAGCTCATCAAAGCTCATGCTGGGTGCCCCGAAAGTGAGGCTGGGGCGTTTCTTTCCAATACAGCGATATGAGTATGTTAAGCATGTGTTGGAACAGCATTCCCAATGCTCTTGACACTGAAATAATACTTGTTATTATTTTAGCAAAATATAAATAAAAATTCCTAGTAACTAACAATAATAATACATAATAACAGCGAAGTGTTATTGTTGTTGTTGTTGTTTTAAAATCCAAAGCAAACTGATTTTCTCACTTACATATTCATTGTATTCAGCGCATTTTCTCTCTGCACTGAAGGCGAAAGCACAAATCACAGCGCTTAAGCAGGCCAAAAACAAAAATTTACTTGGTTTACTCATCTTCGACGTGTTTACTATGGCAAAGCCGGCATTCAACTGATATTCATGAGCGCAGTTTAAGTTCACATAGCATTGTCCGTATTGAAGATATGGTTGCCATATGGCTGTATATGCTAAATTAATGATTTATGTATACAATTTAAAAGATTGGAAAAAAATTGCATCACCTATTTGGACCTGAATTTCATACTGATTACGGACAAAACCAAAATATTTGTGAATACTTGCAAACATATCGAGCGCTTATCGCCAAAGGAGCATCTAGTTGCATTTCTGAATCGAAAATCGAATTTTGTAGAAAATTTCGCTTACGCCTTTTTGGCGGTTATGTACATAAATACATACTTAAAATAAACTCACGCACTAAAATGGCAACAAAGGAGAGAAACTAGAAATTTTAAAACAAACAGATATTTGATTTTGTTTTGGTGTTCTCGTTTTGTGTATGTACATACGTACATATGTATGCAAAGAGATCTGTTATATGTGCATATTTCTGTTTTAGTACGAATACACAAATACTGAATTATCCCTAGGGCAACCCAAAATATGTTCGAGCATGTTTTTTTTTTCTTATACTTTATCAAAAAATTCATAAAAAGTAAATTCTAATTATAAAAAGACAAAGCGTTTTAGCCATATTTGTTAAAGCATATTTCGCAATCAATGCATGTTTTTGCATATCCTAAAAATAAATGCTAAATTTAGTGCATATTCAAAAAATTTAATTTTTCTTTAAATTGCCGAGCACGTAGGACTAGTGAAAAACTTGAGGGCAAGC